TGGCAATGATTGCTTATATATCACTGCATGAATACCATAGTCTGCTGCAATGCATTCTGTATGGTACTACATTTGCAAACCACTTGGAAATTGCTTTGTGCAAAATACAGCTGCCTGTTTATTGACGGGTGAAAACCATCATAACCATGTAACAGATGTGCTACAGTCCCTGCCTTTTTTTTGGTGTTGTCCTCTAATTTTATGGAGCAACTTCCTTCTTGAAGTTATGTTGGCATCCACCTGGAGGACATTCTGGAAATTGGTTAAAAAGGAACTTTTTCAGAAAATGTTTGGAAAATAACCAGTTTGGTGTTTGTAATTTTTTTGGAGGTATATATATACCTTGGAGATTACAGCAGCATACAAATTAGACAGGCAGGCAGGCAAATAGAATGCCTGTCTGTATTTGCCCTGCACAAATTTGCAGCTGATTGAAATGACCATAAATGGAGCATATTGGCAATTGGTAAATGTTTCATAATGTGTAACTTATACTAGTGAATATGTATGCATGTGTGTTCCCAACACTGTCTGTCTGTCTGTCTGTCTAAAACTATATCACTACATGTCTGTGCAAATAATGAAGTATACCTTTACTGTAATCCCTCTTCAAAGAAATTTAGGAGAGTGTGAGAGGTAGCATTTGGACTTTTCTTAAAACTTGGGATCTGACATCAATTTTTGTTCCTTTGGCTTCACTTCATAGCTTTTGTCACAAACCAAATCATGATAGTACCTGACAGGCTAATCCCGTTATATCTGTAAATCTAAATTATTACAACTGCTAGGTACCTCCTGTTTTCCTGTTTATAATGCTGTTTTAAGGGGAGAGACATTGTGGACCACATCCACTGTTATACAGACTTAAACTTGTACGATGGGATTTACCCTCACTCTTTGTCCCTGTGCTTCTTGAATACTCCCCCCCCCCATCTCTTAGCCTTTGGGGATAAATTAGAAGAGGTGGAAGCAAAAAATCCATTAGATGCCATTGTATCAGTGACATGAGATTATTAGAAAAAATCCAGTGAGTTATACCATTCTTTGTAAATGTTACTGATTTTCTTGCAGCAGTTTAGATTTAAATGCTTTCTGTCTATTGACTTTGGCACTAGAATGCATTCTTCAAGTGGCCCCATATTCCCATATGTTTTGGACCACTTGGCATAACATAAGTCAGAAGAAAATACTTATAATTTAATGAAAGAGCACTTTCTAACCAAGTGCCAAATGTATATTGTACAAATGCTTTTTTATATATAATTTGTATGAGAAATTTACACATAGATAAAAGATAAACATGAAATAAGATAAAGTAAGATAAAAGAAGTGTGAGGTGAGAATTAAGCAAAGTGATTAAGAAATACAAATAGAAGAAAAGAAATATCAAGAACTGAATTCCGATCTTCTTCACAGCAGTTACAAACAAACTTATCCTCTCTCCTGCCTCATTAAAGTTACAAATTGTACAAATGCTTTTATTATGGTTTAAGATTTTTTTTCTGGTTCTTTATGACAAATTTGCCTGAAGTGTAAATTGTTTTTTTCTGAATAAGCTTAGAGTAATCAGTGGCAAAGTTTATTTGAAAGATAAACAGCAGAGAAGCATAAAGCAATTGAGTACCTAGCAATTCACAGTGAGAATCTGATCCCTTATGTATTTCTTTTTTATCCCTTAATTTTCCCCTACATACTATAATTTCTCTTAATTCTCCAATAAATTACATGAAAGATTTAGAGCAAAACCAAGGATTGTCTTGCTTTTGAGAATTGTGGCCATCAAATAGATGTAGACATCTTAATGGATTATCCTACAACAAAACCAGGACATTCTGCACTGGAATAGCTCCCATTTGCTACAGAGGCAAAGTGAGAAGAGTCTGAAAATGCTTCCTAGGGAAGGTATAGCACCAAGGTTTTGGCTTTGCTTTGTGCCAAAGTGTATGTATGGCCATCAGCTCTGCTCTCCTTCAATCTTTACAGATCTCTGCCTTTTCTGTCTGGCATCTTCCCCGCTTTCTTTTCCTTTTGTTTTACCCCCATCCCCACTGCATGCCATTCTGTCAGGAACCTGGAGATACTGAAGGAACTTTCTTACAATCCTACCCTTGGGACCAAGCCAGTGACTAACCACCATAGCATACCCACATATTCTCTTGCCTCACTGCCATAATCTCCTCAAAAGATGCAATCCACAGGCTGTTTGACTTACCTAATCACTGGAGGGCCTGTCTCCTCTCCTCTTGATGGTCCAGGTAATGGAGGAAATGGAAACTGGCAGTGCTAAGTGTTTGATCACCCCCATGGCCTCCTCCAAATTTTAACTGGCTCTGCCAGGTAATTTCTTTTCTTGAAGTTTCCACTGCCTTCTGCTTTCCAGAAATGTTGGGGAAGGTCACAGCATCTTGAATGGGCTGCAGCTTCTCTGGATTATCCTCACACCAATGACCAACCACACTATAGTGGCAAAAGCTTACAGGGAGCAAAGAGAGGGAAGGGAAATGGCATTGTTCCCTATCACACACACACACACACCCAGCAGTCTCTTATCCAGTTCCTCACTGCAGACATCAAGACACAAGACACCATCCAGGGAAAAGAACCAAATATCCAAGTGATTCAACCCCATCCCTGATTGTGCATGATTCAAACATCTTCATTCAGGATCAGATTGGGAAGAAGGGGAATAACCAGTCCCCCATTCCACAAAGCTCTTTCAAATATTAGATTTCCTCCAGATTCTTGGGAAAGACTGCAAAACCCTAATTGGACCCCCTAATGGACACATGGACCTGTCCTTCCCACTGAACAAAGATAAGAGCATTCTTCAATCAGTGAGCAGGTTGGAATACATTCTGTTAAAAGAGGGAAAGAGATCTTCTGGCAGCTAGTCACATCAGCAGTTAAGACCAGGCATCCAGACTTCATGACCTTCACTGGCCACCTGGTCTTATGATTGTCTACATAGACTCAGTAGTTTGGGGAAAATTCCATCCCGTACCCTCCATTGACTGCTTCTCCCCTTCCAGAACCTAATAACACAAATGTCCTGGGGATCCCAGCAAAGGTGGAAGGCTCCTTCAAGTGGCAATTCTCTATACAAGAAGTAGAGATCAACAGGCATAAGAAGAGTGTTAAAAAAAAAAAACAGGTTCTGAGGCCTGAAAAAGTTTGAAAACCTTTGCTGTAGATGTACCTTGTGGTCAGTAAAGGCTTTCTAATAAAGCATGAGGACAAAGGTTCTCTTGCTTTATTGTACATGGGTTCAGGGTGACTGTGGCCACACAGTAAAGTATGATCCTGCTTTATACTATCCACCCACCACCTGTGGGGTGGCACTGCAAGTGATCTTTGTGGTGGGCAGTGGCTTCCACTTAAAGCAGAAGAAGAAAGCCTTCACCCACCCTACTGATCAAGCCTTGACAGATGGCTAAACCATTGCTCTAGTCTTATATCAAAATGGTCCTCCCCAACCCCCTTTCAGGAGAATGATAGGTGGATGTTTTTCCCGGTGCAAAAAAATCTACCAGACACTACGTCTAAACTTTCCCTGCACTAAACTATTAGGACAGCACTCCTCATTGAATTCATTCAAAAGGCAGAGTCAAGTTTGGCTATGGGGGTAGAGCAAGTTTATGCTGGCATACTTTGTGCTGTTTCACAGGCTGGGGGACAGCAATTAAACTAACTGAGCCCTATTTTGAGCTGGATTCCTTACTTGTGTTCATTTTTCTTTTTTGCATAGATATTGACCAATTTATTCAGAGTAGAACATAGTGGACATTCTTAATAGATTGTGGCATATGTTACATGGGAGAATGAACAAATATATGTTCCCCTGCTACAGTGAGTGACTTTACTGGGTCCTGTAATATTGTTGTCAGAGTAATTAGGGGCCAGTGTTGGAAGCTAGCTTCCTCATTCCAGTGAAGGATAATGCTTTTCTGGGTAAAAAGTGCCAGAACAAAGCACGTTAGTTGAGCTTCAGACACTCTCCATTCTTCCTCTGTCATGAAGGGTTACCTCATACACAAAACTTGCCACTTTGAATCTTTGGGGATTGAGTGGCACATAAATTATAATGTATAAATGAGTAAGTAAAACTTAAACAAAAATTGTGTGTGGGTGCTAGTAATGCTTGTTATGCTCTATCATACAAGATAGGCAAAATATTCATCACTCTGATGGCATTTGTCCAGCCCACCCACCTACCCCTCAAGTTAATAAGAGTGAAATCCTTCTTGCAGTTTTTTGTTCTAATGTGTAACTGTTTAATTTGCACAGATATGGTTATGGATTTCAAGAGCACGGATTCAGTAGTAGGCCTACTACTCCCCATATCTCAGAACTGCTTTGGCTGTCCTGAGATTGTGTCAAGAGTTTTGCCAAAAAGGATGCTGTAGCAGAACTTTTTCTAGCATGCTAGCAGCAATACTGGATTTCCATCAAATAACTAATTACAGCCTCTCAACCAGCAGCTTTTCAGTATTGGATTATTCCCTAAAACACTTGTTTTCTTCATTTAGTCCCCATTTTTCAACACAGGCAGGCATCAGCAGTTTTGGTAGTAAACACTGACCTGGACTCATGCACTTGGTGAACTTTGGGCAGTTGTGTTCTTACTTACCAAAACAAAGAGGTTTTTTGGGAAAAAAAATCTAGCCCTAGTTGAGAATCAGATTCATAGATAGACATGTGGATATTGTCCATCTATAGTTAAAAAAAAGTATTACAGTATTCCATTTCAATGTCTTCACTGTTTTGAATTTCTTTAGCTAACTCTTCTACCAAACAAAAGGAATGTCTTTCTGGCTTTCAAAAAAATATATAATAAATGAGTTGCTGGGAAAAAAAATCCCTTGGTAAAAATTTGCTTTAACATTATGTTCTTGTCAAGTAAGCTTGTTTATGCTTTTGTGTGTCTTCTAAAAATTTGCTTTAACATTATGTTCTTGTCAAGTAAGCTTGTTTATGCTTTTGTGTGTCTTCTCTTTCTACAGGAAGGAGCTTCAGCACGAAAGACTCAGGCCCCAGCAGCACAGCCTGTGGCAAGGCCAGGTAAAAGCAGTGGATTTATTACTTTATATTTATCATAGTATGAAGGATACACTTTTTTTTTCTTTTTAAGGCACTATGTTGAAAATGCAAACCCAGCTTTTAATTCACTCTGACTTGAATAGTACTAGTACTGGCTAGTTCTAGGGAACTACTGAAGCCTTAATCTTTAAATTATGAAAAAAAAAATCTAAAATCAAATGAATGCATCTACATTTCTGATTGCACACATGATAATGTGATACAATAATTATAGGAACACATGCATTCTGTAAATTTCAGGTACTTTAACAATCATTTCTTTGCTGTGTACAGTGATCTTTGGAAGGTATGCTTCTGCAAAAAGGCTAGGGATCTCTACCAAATCACATTATTGTTTGCTTATCTGCACTACCTAGGATCTTGAGAAGAACTGTCAGCCGAGCAAGAAGTATGATGTATGCATATTCTGAACAAGTCATCTTTCAGTACTGGAAATATTTATATGACCTATTGTATTCCTTGTGATACATTTCAGAAGATAGTACCCATTATAAAATTTAGTAATGAATACCATATAAATACTTCTAAGGCTGAATAATGACTATCTGGCTTCAGGCTTATAAACACTTGAGGGGATAATGGCTTTAGTAGATTATTAAAAAGTAATATAATGTGAAGGTTAAAAAAATAAAATAAAATAGAAGGGTTCTATATGAGTTAGATAACATAGTCTTTTAATGACAACAGCCCCTGATGCCTTTCCAATTAAAAGCAAAAATCAAAACAGTCTCTTCAGTTTTTGTAGACAAAAGTATTTGCAGGATTTTTTCCAGTAATAATGGAAAACTGCTGGTTAAATAGCCATTGCTAAAAAAAATTATATACCAAGTCTAAAATAGTTACCTTGCATTGCTAATTTTTTTCTAAAAATGATTTCAGGATAGAATGCTTATGTATTTGAAGTAGCATGATGTTGGGATTCTTTACTGGTTTTGTTATTTTTGCAGTTGTGTGCCAGTGCTTAGAAAGGTCATACTGCCTGTCATAGTTATCTCACCAGGGCTGTTGAGAATAAGAATGTGCTTGGAACTGACAAGCAATGATATGAAAAGGGTAGAAAAGCAAAAGCAGAAATGCATCTGGATAACTGCCGCACATGAGATCACACTGCCAGATGCGATTTCACACACATTAACTGAAAGCCCTGCACAGGCTTCATCAGTACAAAAGCAAGCCCATATCATGATTGACCTTCCATATTGCAGGATACAAAGAAATAAACAAAGTACCAGAAAGCACCTGGAAAAAGTACTCCCTCAGGGTTTCTCTAGAAAAAATGCTTAAATTTCTTTAGTATTTTCATTTATTTATGCCCTATCATTTTAAAGTATGAATTCTTAATAGAATTTCATAGACACATGCTGTTTGAAGTCAGTGTGGATGCAATCCAGAAACCATTTAGCAAATTAAATAATTACATAGTGTTGGAAAGTCTACCACCCAATCCCCATTATTTTTAGTCTATTTTTCCAGCTTATTACAGTTATTTGATTTTATTATTTTTTTTAGAGTCAACTATCCTACTCAATTTGGGTCATCCATAAATGTATTTAGTATTCCCCTACCTCTTTATCCAAGTCATTAATAAAATGTTGTAAAAATAGCCCAGGACTGAAACTTGTGGCATCTCTCTTGATACTCTACTCCCAGTAGATGACAAACTGTTGATGAATCTATGCATTCACTTAATTGTCATTTCATCAAGCCCACACCTTACTAGCTTGCTAATCAGAATGCCATGCTATAGTTTCTCAAATGTTTTTGCTTAAATTAAGATGTATCAACTTTTATAACACTCCCATAATATATTAAGGAAGTTGCTCAGTTAAAAAATGAGATACGGTTAGAAAACTAGGATGCATTCACCCTCTTCCAGTCATCCAGCCTATCAAAGACAATACATAAAGATTCAGACAGGCAATCAACAAATTTCTTCAGTATTTTTAGATACAATTCATCTGTCCCTGGGGATAAATTTATTCAAAGTAAAAAGATATTTCACAGTAATGTTTCTGTCAGTCTCAAGCTTTAGTTTTGCCTTTTCAGTCCATTCTTTACAGTTGTCTGGTAGAACACATACATTTCCAAAAAAAACCTGAGCTAAAGTGAAAGTTGTGTAGTTCCAACTCTTCTTGTTAGCCTTTCCATCTTTACTGATGAGCTGGTAAAAGTGATTCTTTTTTCTTCCTTTTAGTTTGAATATATGAAGATGTCCTTTTTGATATCCTTAGCATCCTTCACCAATCTCAGCTCGTTATGAGCTAGTATTTTCAATACTTCCTCTCTAATTCCTATCTAGTTATATGTAGTAGTACTGTTAAAAACTATCTTGGAGTAGTAGTTGATTATGAACTGTGAGTCAGCAATATGACATGGCAGTAAAAAAAAAAAAAAAGCAAATGTAACGTTAGGCTACTTCAACAGGAGTATAATTTCCAAATTATGGGAAGTAATTTGGAAATCATACTTTATATTGCATTGATGGGGTACCACTCAAGTGTTTTCAGAATTAGGCACCACACTTTTAGAATGATTCAGACAAAGTAAAAAAGTTCTGGGAAAGGCAATGAGGATGATCAGGGGACTTGAAAGTATAGCCTGTGGAGACAGACTGAAGGAAATGGGAATGTTTCATCTAGAGAAGTAAACACTGAGGGGGGATAAAAGAGTACTCTGTATACACCACAGAAAGATTAAGACCTGTTCGCCAACATTCCATAGCTCAGGATATGAAATAATAGCTATAAGCTACAAGAAAGCTGGATTCTGATTGTATTTTGAAAAAATATTTTTAACAGTAAAAGTGACAGTGAGATCCATTATACATATGTTCTCCCTTTGCTGAATTTGGCTGCTTTAACTTAGATTCCTGGACTGATCAGGGATTGGACTCAGTGGCCTATATAGTTGGCCCACTTCAAACTCAAAAAGGGGTTTGACCTGTCCTTTTTTCTACCTCTTGTATGTCTTCTGTTTTTCAACTCTATTAAGTATTTTTCTGATTTCATTTCTTTTTCCTAATTAAAACTATTTGCAGTTGTGCTTTTAATATTTACTTTTTAGAAATGTGTACCCATATTTTGTTCATTTTAGCTTTTCCTGCCATAGATACCTGTTTAACAGTTGCTCTGAATTTATTAAAATCTATTTTTCTGAGGTCCAAGAATACTATTTAATCACTCTTGGCTTTGGTTCCCATTACAGTAAACAATTCCAACTTTACATTGCTTCTATTACTTGCACTGCAACTAAATCTAGTGATTATGCTTGATTCTGATATAACTCATCTTCTTGTGTATTCTCTGAAGGAAAAGTTGTCAAAAAGACAAGTCAGGAATTTCCTGGGAGGGCCATTTTTGCACATGTCAGATTAATTAAAGTTCCACATAATTGTTATTTCATATCCCTTTGAACATTTTTCAAATGGCATCATCCACAACTACTTGGTTAGATGGGCAATGCTAGACACCAAAACAATAGTGTTTTTATAAGTTCCTCCACTTATTCCAACCGAAATGTTTTTTGCAGTATTGCTAATTCCATTTACATTGATTACTAAAGCAGATGTGGATATTCTTAACATGAAGTTCAACTTTTCTTTTTCTATTACTTCTGTTCCTTTTGAACAAATTGTATTCTTCAGTTGCTATATTCCAGTCATGGGTCTTACCCCATCCGGTTTTCATTAAACCTATTAAATCATATTTCCTTTCATGTAGTAACAGTTCAGCCTTAGGAGTAAGCACCACATGGACAACTTTGCCTGGGCTGGGAAACTAAGTAGGGTCAGGCCTAGTTAGTACTTTGATAGGAGACCCACAAGGAATTCTGGGGTTACACAGCCTCTGTTACACTTGATAAATCCTTGTCTCTTATGAGCTAATGTGTGGTCACTTCTGTCCCAGTCCTCTGTTTTTTTCTTCAAGCACCATTACAACTCTGTACTTGTAAATATATGCCAGGTTGTTTTCTATCAGGCATACAAATATGCTACAAGCAGGTCTTGTCTGCAGAGTTCAGTCTGTCTGCAGATCTGTTTCTTAAGTCACAATCAGTAGAAACGTTTTGCTTATTCCCTATTAATTATCATAGAACCTCCCCCTTAAATTCTGCTGCCAAGTTCCTGTTTTCTTGCTTAATTTGCTCACTTAATTTACTCCTTGAAAACTGCTTGCATTATATCTCTCCTACTGTATCTGAAGCAGCCTCTGCTTACTCAACAAGAACTATTCATCAAATATTCACTTAACACACAATCCTTTTGATCATTAGCTTCCCTGAACATTTTGAAACAAAAGAAGATACTGTTCTTATAGTTCTGAAGCCCCATCTTAAGATACCCTTTATTAGATTAATCCTCTATTAATTGATTTTTAACCAACCAATATGCAAGAGTCAAAACTGATAGTTGAGTCCTCACTCTGCATTGAAGAAGCAGAGGTACCTTGTCTTTGGTAGCTGAGAAGAGAGGACATTCTTACATACTTATGTCAGCAAAATAGATTAGAAAGGTTGCTAACTTCTCAGTGATTCAGTTAATCCAAAATAGTACCGTTATTTACATGCAATTCTTCCACAGTGAAGAGAAGCTCTTAACTATCTGAGACCTTTCCTACCCATACTCCTTTTTGTCTCTGGAACATTAATCTCCTAAACAGATAGATTCTAGGGAAATTTCATTAATTTCATGGTGAATCAAAATTTATTGGATAAAACAGTTATTCTGTGCTTTTTTCCCCATAGTTTCCCAAGCAAGGCCTCCTCCAAACCAAAAAAAAGGTGAGTTGCTTCTAATTTCACAGGTGTTTTTATCTTATAAAATTGACATCTTATATTATGGATTTTGTGATAATTTATTAATTAGTTCTTAAATTTTTATATAATTGTTCAGCCAGAGCTTGAAGGGTTTGTGATGATGATGAAAATTGCATTTTATTAAAATTGTACCTGTTTGCCTTAAAAATATATATCTTTCTACAGGATCTCGAACACCAATTATCATTATTCCAGCAGCTACCACCTCGTTAATAACTATGCTTAATGCAAAAGACCTTTTGCAGGATCTCAAGTAAGTAACTAAAAGATATACATGATAAAAGTCTCTTTTCAAGTATAAATGAAGCAGGTGGCAGCCGTGGCTAGGAGGGCCTTTGTACATCTTTAGGTTGTGCATTGGTTGCACCCATTTCTGGACTAGGAGGCCCTGCCCACAGCCACACATGCCCTTGTAAGCTCCACATTAGACTATTGCAACACACTCTATATAAAGTTGCCCTTGAAGAGCATTCTGAAGCTTTAGCTGGTGCAGGATGCGACGGTGTGGGCAGTTATTGGTGTCAGTTTTGTGATGCATGTGCCACCACTGCTCCATAAGCTGCATTGGCTTCCAGTGTGCTTCTGGGTGCAATTCAAGGTGCTGGTAGTTATCTTTAAAGGCTTGCATGGCTTGGGACCGAGCTACTTACAGGACCATCTCTCCCCAATTGTTTCTACCCATCCCATTCAGTCTGGCAGAAGGGGCATGCTCTAGGTGCCATCAGTTAAGAAGGAGTGTCAGCTTGTGGGGCCCCACAGGAGGGGCTTTTCTGCCATGGCACCCACTCTGTGGAACATAATTCACCTAAGATTAAGTTAACCCCTACCCTGCTGGTCTTTCACAAGGCCCTTAAAATTTGGTTCTGTCCAAGTCCTAGAGCCCCAGGAGTATGATAGACCCCATCTCTTGGCTTTGTTGAAGGTTATTTATGAAGCTTGGCTGCTATGTGGGTTTTTTTTTTCATTTTTATATTATGTATTTTATTGTTTTTATTTTATTGTAAGCCACCCAGAGTCACTCATGTAAGACAGGTGGATGTGTGTGTGTACAGTGGGGCAAAAAAGTATTTAGTCAGCCACCAATTGTGCAAGTTCTCCCACTTAAAAAGATGAGAGAGGCCTGTAATTTTCATCATAGGTATACCTCAACTATGAGAGACAAAATGTGAGAGAGGCCTGTAATTTTCATCATAGGTATACCTCAACTATGAGAGACAAAATGTGAGAGAGGCCTGTAATTTTCATCATAGGTATACCTCAACTATGAGAGACAAAATGTGAGAGAGGCCTGTAATTTTCATCATAGGTATACCTCAACTATGAGAGACAAAATGTGAGAGAGGCCTGTAATTTTCATCATAGGTATACCTCAACTATGAGAGACAAAATGTGAGAGAGGCCTGTAATTTTCATCATAGGTATACCTCAACTATGAGAGACAAAATGTGAGAGAGGCCTGTAATTTTCATCATAGGTATACCTCAACTATGAGAGACAAAATGTGAGAGAGGCCTGTAATTTTCATCATAGGTATACCTCAACTATGAGAGACAAAATGTGAGAGAGGCCTGTAATTTTCATCATAGGTATACCTCAACTATGAGAGACAAAATGTGAGAGAGGCCTGTAATTTTCATCATAGGTATACCTCAACTATGAGAGACAAAATGTGAGAGAGGCCTGTAATTTTCATCATAGGTATACCTCAACTATGAGAGACAAAATGTGAGAGAGGCCTGTAATTTTCATCATAGGTATACCTCAACTATGAGAGACAAAATGTCTCTCATAGTTGAGGTATACCTATGATGAAAATTACAGGCCTCTCTCATCTTTTTAAGTGGGAGAACTTGCACAATTGGTGGCTGACTAAATACTTTTTTGCCCCACTGTATATATGCTTACCTTTATTTTGTATATCTGTCAAAGAGGGATTAAAGAAAGAAAAGGACAATTATTCATTAAAAGCAGCAAATATTCTATCAGATGATTGTCAGTTCCTCACAGCAGGACACAAAAAAGGAAACAAGAATTATAGAGATTTCTATAAGAAGTTTTTAATATCAAGATTAGGAGTAAAGCAGAAATTGTTGAAAATGGTGATAGAATTTTCAGCCCTCAATTGTTAGCAAGTTCATGAAGGAAGAGTCTTTTTAAACAATTTGAATTGCTTCTTGTTGGACTTTTTGCAGATCCATAAACCTATTAGTTATTAGAGACACTGAGAGTTTTTGAAGTATACTGTCAAACTTTCTTGAGACATATGTTTCCTGGGGCCCTAGACATACACACAAATAACTTGTTCTCTGATACCTGTTAATAGTCTGTTACAGATTAAAACATACTAAAATGCAATCAAAAGAGTGCAAATTAGTGCCATTTATCAGATAAAATCATAACATATTTCTGCATCCAGGCATATTTAAAAAAAACTGCTAATCATGTCTTTCTGAATTACATGCAATTAAGAAGAAATTGGTGCCGTCCTTTTTGGAAAAATAAATGGTTCTGCATTAAATCTGTGGAGCAACTAGTTAATGGAATTAACTTGATATAAATATTGAAAAAAACATGTATATGTACATGGCTTTTATATATGGAAAGCATAATTATCTCCATGTATCTCAATCTTACTTTTGGTATCTTGTCTAAAAAAAGTTATTACAGTTAATCACAGTACAAATATTATAGTAGCCATCTCCTAGCTATGCTTTAAAAAAAAAATCAAAAGTGGGTTAAAGATTCCCTTCAAGTCTTAATTCCCTTCCCAAACAGATCTTCCCTCCTTTCCATTGTTAGCATCCCTTATGGAATAATAGCACTATTGTTGAATAGCATTAGCTATACTTACTATCCAGTTTCCCACTACAAACTTGAATTAGAATGGACAACTTTCTCTTTCCAAGAATTTGCCAACCTCTCAGATTCCCACACTGAAAATTGATAGCAAAAGCTTGAGGTAGTCTCCTAGAGCAGATGTTCATAGAGTGCAAAGGATTGAAGGAAATGAGGAAAATTAGTAATATCATTGTACTAAATCATATATTCAGCTATATAAATTTGCTTAAATAAGTAACTGATTTTACAGATAGGAGTGCCTCCTATTTATGCAGTAGTTTTAGGATCCAAACTTAAATTCAAATCTTTGTTTAAAAGTTGATCACAGTTGATTTTGCTGTAGACATAGCTTTATTTGTTATGAAGGGAAAGTTTGACAAAGTTTACATGAGAAATAGAGAAATGATTGAAATTATAACAGAATTGCTTGGTAATTTTGCTCTGATTTTTTTATATTCTCTGTCTGAATACATTCATATTTGGTTGTTTTATTTTGTTTATGATAGATAAATTGAGCATCGCAATCATTTGTGTTAAGTACTAGGCAAATAACCATGAATAGAAAGAGTGGATTAGCGCCAAAATATTTACTATTTTTTTCAATATAAATAAATTATAAAAGAATTAATAAAATATGAAACTACTTGCTGAACTCCCAATTGCTGTCTCTCCATTGTTTGCACACGGTGGATTTTCCAAAATATGCAGAATTTCAGTTGTGTTGCCAGAGCTGTTTTGGAAGGGAAATATGGGAAAACCCCATATGAAACCCGATACGGCCCCTGCGACACGGGTGCCATAGAAACCACAGCTCATGTTCTTCTGCACTGTCAGTTCTACAGGGACACTCACCATCAGTTGATTATCCCCCTTTTATTTAAATTTCTGTGGCACTCCAATAATTTTTATTTGCATTATCTGTTAAACAGCCAAGATAAATTTATTTCTCTAAAAGTAGCAAAATGTTGCTACATTATGTGTAAGCTTCACCCACAAATGGTTGCCAACAGTTATTGATATTAGGGAATAATTTTGCTTTGCTTGTTTTATTGAATGTATTTTTATTGGTCAATGACCAAAATAAAGTTCTATCTGTCAGAAGAAGAATAATTTCAGTTGCATTGCCAAGGAAATACTAAGATTTCTTGAACGTGATTAGGAAAATAAGGAAGTCTTAAAAGCAGATGAGAGGCTCATTCCCATATGATGGCATTTTTGCTCCCTAAATATAAAACATATAAAAATGATCTTTCAGCATTTTGTTTTTTCCTGTTTCAGTAGCATGATTTTATTTGCATTATGCCAGTTTATCAAAATTTATTTCCTTGAACCATCATATTTGAATTGATTCATTTTATTTATTTAATATTGAAAAGGTTTGGCAGTCTGGAGTGTATAATTTGCTTATTTTAACTTTATATTTGTTTGAGAACATTACCAACAGACCACAAGCATTAGCCTATAGTGGTAAATTCAATTTCTTTAGTCAAACTGATGGAAATTAATAGGGCATTTAGTTATAATAGTATTATTATTGACTGTTTCTAAGGAGAAACTATTCATTACTCTCAATAGCAAACAAATACAATAAATTGCATTGTTTAAATATAGTGTTTGTGTTCAATCATTAGCATTGTTGCACTTAAATATATAGGTAAAGGTTTGGTAGTGGGTTGTCTTCTTTGTTTTAGCACACATATAATCCTAAAGATTTTGTATCAATAAAAATATTAGTAGAATCATACTCTTTGAATTTCTATAATCCATATTGTTACATAGATAGGCTTTGTAAATGGTGTTTATCTTCTCCACTAGTCTGAATTTCCAACTTTAAACAAATTTCATGAACAATTAAATGTCCAAATTGGAAAAGACAATTATAATTTGACCCATTATCACTACTCTGGCCACTGTGGATGATAGAGATTGAATATCTTTAAATAAATTAATATTTATTCATTAACAGGTATTGATTTTACTTTTGGAGACACTGAGCAGAATCTACTGCTAAACTGAACCCTAATATTGGGATCTTATAACAGTTATTATTTCTGGGATACCTAGCCTTTTCCTTAGTTGAAATAGCGTTTTGTACCATTGTGACATAAGATTTATAAGCCAAATCTCACTTGCATCTAGACTTAGCCTGATAAGTTATGCCACAATACACTGGATTCGTCATTTCTTGTACTGCAGGAGACTTAACATATGTACTATGTTAAGTTGATTTTGCTGTAGACATACCTTTAATAATTATGAAGGGAAAGTTTGAGAAAGTTTACATAGGAAATAGAGAAATGTATGAAGTTACAGAATTGTTGGTAATTTTGCAAGTAAGGTGTAGATAATTGAAATGATGTAATTTGATTTCTTTGATACTGGTCAAGGGATTTTTTTGAAAAACTCAGAAGCTCACTTTTACAGTCCAATATTATCAATTTCTGAATTATATCTACAGTAGGTACTATCTGTTTTTACTTTGTATGAAATCAGTTAGTATCAGTCTACAATATTGTTTCACCATCTCTATTTTTAAGGTTTGTACCATCTGATGAAAAGAAAAAGCAAGGCTGTCAGCGAGAGAACGAAACTTTAATACAGAGAAGGAAAGACCAAATGCAGCCTGGTGGAACTACAGTCAGTGTTACAGTGCCATATCGTGTTGTTGACCAGCCTCTTAAACTCATGCCTCAAGATTGGTAAGAGAGAGTGTTTTGTTACTAATAATGTCTTCCTCAACCAAAATGTAAAATCAATATAGTTGCACATAATATATTCTTAACCACTCTCCTGAATATCTTCACTTTTGATATGGAGCCATCTGCTGCCCCCTTACTTACATAACTGAAATTATCATTCTGATCTTCAAACCTTTTTATTGGATATTTTATTAATCTTGTCATGTGTTTATGGTCCAATGGGATTGACGGTATACTGTTATTTAAGATGATTCTAATTTGCAGTACACTGTATAGTTTGAGATTACAAAAACTATGTAGGAGACTTTATTTTTCCACTGTACAAAAGAAGTGTTGAAAATGGTTTGAGCCACTGTTGGCTTAATACTTGTGAGAATGCCTTCCTTGATTTTTCTTCCAGGTACTTTATAACATGTGCTGGAATTGCTCAGACGAAAGTATATAAGGACAGCTGGGATATATATGCAAACATTTGTTAACAAGGGATATGGAGATCTCAGTTATTACCCATAAGTGGGTAATACATAGTGAATTAAATTTATATTTCTACCACATATATTAGTTCTTTGCTATAATACCACTTTCTTATTGCATCTATCTAGAACTTCTGTCAACATCAACTGGGAACTTGGCTAAGTTAAAAGCATACCATAAGGTGGTAGAGAATTGCATAGTTAAACTTGAGCTTTATAAGGTCCTGGTTTAAATACATGAAAATAAAATAAGTATTTGAAAGAGATATGACATTTTGTTGGCTCTCTTTGAATTAATAGAGCCCGTCCCTCAACTGTAATTCTGAGCTAACTGGCAAAAAGAAAGCTGGGTTCTCATTCCCCAAATTTCAGAATACATTGGGTTGCATTTTGGCAGAAGCACCAAAAAAAAAAAAATGGTTTCTGTTGATTATTTCCCTACTCCAAAATCAGTACTTTCCCTCTTTTCATGATTGTTTATCTATAATATTTTTATCCCATCCATCATGGCAAAAATATTTCAGAGTGATTTACAAAAAAGAAAAGAATTCACTGATCATATGGGTTGAGATTACAGGTTTACCAGTGGGTTGTTGTTGTTTTTTGTTATTGCTGTTGAGAAGATTTTGAGTCAGTAGTTTAGACTTTAATGTTCTGAAATTTAACAAAACTAGGATATATTTGAAAAATGTATGAAAAATATTAATGTTTTTAGGGTAAACAGCTTCACTCTTACTCTCAATCCATTATGTGTTTTTAGTGATTGAAATGTGAGTGCTTCTCTCCCTTTTAATATCTATATTCTAGGGACCGTGTTGTAGCTGTGTTTGTGCAGGGTCCTGCTTGGCAGTTCAAGGGCTGGCCATGGTTATTACCTGATGGATCACCTGTTGATATTTTTGCAAAAAGTAAGCTTTTTATTTTGATTTAATTTTCTGCTGTATATTCATCATAAATTACTTTTATTGTATTATATCTTGATGGTAAAGTCTCTGTTACTGTCAAAGCTGATGTGATCAAATATTCTGTTAGTTAGCAAACTCAGTTTGCATTCCAGTTTCTATTTATTTATTTATTTATTGAATTTATATCCTACCTTTTTATGAGTCCAAAACAATATACATAGCACTCCCTCCTTTTTTCTTTTTTCTTTTTCTTTTTTTCTTTTTCTTCCTTTTTTTTTTTTTTTTTTTTTTTAAC